GAAAATGTATTAAAACAACTCGTGAAGAAATACAAATACTTAACTCTAAGACAAGTGGTCTGTGAATGTTTCGAATTTACACAGTTTGACTAGCGGAATGTCTGGACGAAACATTCACAGACCACTTCTCATAGAGTCAAGTATTTGTATTTCTTCACGATCTGCGCTAGTCACACGGGTAGGAAGTGTATAAAGTTTAGGTATATTGATGTTATCTTCCTTGCAATTTTTGTATGTTTCACGCTAGCCTGGGCTTTCTTTGACCTACAATGCCGAAAAATCCCTGTCTAGCTTCTGCAAATGGCAATCAATGTTACATGACACCAAGGGCTCTTACTATGACCACGCTGTGCTATTGACGGGATTGGATATCTGTTCTTGGAAGGATGAACCTTGTGGTACTCTAGGTTGGTAAATCATGGGAAATAAAAAAAATAAAAACTTTTTAACCATGCAACAGTGTATTTTACAGTTAATGTTTTTCTCTAGGTTTGTGTGTTCTAATATTATCAATCTGAATATTCTTCCAGTGATGTGAATTTGTAGCGTTTTGTAACCTTGAGTAACTATAGTAAACCTTATTATATTCTTGTTCTTAAACCTTGTTAACACATATGTTGTACTCGTGTTTTAATAGACCCATTAGTATTGTAACGTTATAATCTTTAATAACAAAACCTTCCTACGACTTTATGACCTGGGATTGTATTTTTCGAATGCATTAGATGCATAATTTTGACACACACAGAATACATTATTTTATAAATGTTTGATTAGAGCCATATAATACAATATTTTGAAAATAAGATAAAATAAGCAGCATGGGTATTAGTATTCAAGTCTTTAATCATGTTTTTCCTTTTCCTGAGGACATGCTGATTTAACGAAACAGAAGACTTTTAACTTTGATATAAGAGATTGCCCATTTATTTAAAGGCATATTCAGTATGAAATTTAACAGATATCTTAATGACATTTTTATATTAAATGTAGCAATTAAAAAAACTAATAGTATTGTAATACATTTATCGTTGATCACCAGAAAGATCCAATCCTCCTGACAAATCCATTGGTAAGATCGACAAGTACGTAACGAGAATTTTTACTACCTTTTTATGGTTAAGCAGGCCGCAATGAACAAGTTAAAAGAACATAAAAGTTAATATAGTTTGGCTATGAGGACGCTTTGACACACCTCTTATGTTATTCTTTGATTATGGTTCTTAAATCAGCAGTCATGGAAACCTGCTAATGTTCTTCATAAGCTTTAAATATAATATTTTAAAGTATTATTTAAGCATAACTAACTGATCAGTGTTTTCTCTCATTAGCGGGAAGAGCTTTGATCTCACTTACTATAGTAAAAGAGTCACTGGAATGGTCAAGAAATATATAATTAAACAAGTATGCAACTAACTGTATGCTTTTACAACTAAGTAACATCGCCTTCTTTACTTAGAGTTAATTTTAAGAAGCTATACTGACTCAGAGGGAGAGAGAGAGAGTAATAAAACTAATGTGAAGTATTAACCGTTGTTATTTTATACCCATGAAGAAATTCAGTCTTCAAATTCGATGAAATATTATTTTGTGTCAATTAATAAAGATCAATATTTTGGGGCAAGTCGTCTTGACTGTTTGTCTTGCGTAGTTTAGCCGTCGAAACACTTTTACAGGGGTGTCTTTTTCAAATCATTAATGGTGATTATTTTACTAGAAGATGGCCAAATGCATGATTAAAACGTAGTACTCTGTCTATTTTAGTAAAAACATATTTCTGTTATGGTATAAATGCTTGTTTAAACCCGATGAAGCATGGTTGTAATTAATTTACTCGTCATTAGACAATACTATTAGACCTATTATATTTTTAACACTGGATTCTGCAGAATGTAGTATTAAAATATAATAGATTTAATGTTAATGTCTAATGGCAACTAAATTAATTCATAAAAATATTGCCCACTTTAAGTGCTCCACCCTTAGTGTCTCAGCAGTAAATATGAAGACTTATGACACTAAAAATATGGCTTCGATGGATGTAGTGGGCACAGAAGTGATAGCCCATTGTGTAGCGTTGTGCTTAACAGTAAAACAAACCCACTTTAAGCTGTTTTTTATATTTTATCTGCATTTATACACAGTAAAGCAACAAATATGTTTCATTGTATTATAATCACTATATAATAACTAATATTTTATCAAAATACGAAAGAAGCTTTTGGATTTCAAAGAACTTAACGTAAGCTGGTTTCACTTTGGTGATTCAATACTTGCCTGATAAAAAGCGAAAGCAATAGTAAACTTGTTTTATGAAAATAGACAGTCTGGCTGTGAACATGGGTTCAACCTAAAACGTTTGTTCCTCAGGATGAAATTGCATATAAAGGTGTCTGCGAAGCTACAAGCTTCTAGCTATTATCGAGTACCAGCATTAATTTTTCATTGCAGGTTATGCCCCTGTCAGTGGCATGTGTAGTAAGTACAGAAGCTGTACGGTTAACGAAGACACGGGACTAGCCTTGGCTTTCACTGTTGCGCATGAAGTGGGCCACAAGTAAGTTAATAAGTCAAATATTTTGAAATATGTCAAAATAATACACAAGATTATGTGCTCCGTTTTAATATCTTACTTCTGAATGTGGTACCATTAGCTGGATTTGATAACATATCTAGAAAATAATAGAATTTCAGTTTTGTCACATCCTTTTCTAGTTTCGGCATGGTACATGATGGAAGAGGATCGAAGTGTAAGGACGCAAGAGGGAGCATCATGTCACCTGTACTGGCTGGACTGGAGGGAACTTTCCAGTGGTCATCTTGTAGCAGAAAGGAGCTCACCAACTTCCTGGAGTAGGGAGCCATCTTGGACCTAGGGTGAATGAGCTAGATAGAATACATCGTTAGGCTCTTAGGTTTGAGGTGGTATTGTGTATACCAACTAACTAGACTGCTTCGTTAGACTCAAAGAATTGGGGCGGTTTTGGATATGTGGACTAGCTAGAATGGTGTGTCAAGAACTTAGGTTTTAAGCGTTCTTGGGAAAAGCTTACTGCTTCGTCAAAAAAATAAGTCTCAGGTAGATTAGGGTATATAGACTAGCTAAACTACGTCATCAGGCACATAGGTTTCAGGTGATCTTGAGTATATCAGCTAGCTATACTTCTGCATCTTACACATGTTTGAGATGGGGTTGCATATATGGATAAACTAGACAGCTTCTGGTTATGAAAAGGTTTGAAGCGGTTTCTGGTATATAGAATACCTAGACTGCTTCTTGAGAAACATAGATTTTCAGTGATTTTGTGTATAAAGAAAATCTAGACTGCTTGGAGTAGACTTGTATAAGTAGAAGCAACTAGAGTACTTGGTCATACTAATAGAATTGATGTTTATTTGGGCTAGTGGACTTGTATAAGTAGAATTAGCTAGACTACTTGGTCATACTAATAGAGTTGATGTTTATATGTGCTAGTGGACTAGTTAGAGTAGAAATAGCTAGACTACTTGGCCATACAAATAGAATTGATGTTTATTTGGGCTAGTGGACTAGTTAGCGTAGAAGTAGCTAGACTACTTGGTCATACTAATAGAGTTGATGTTTATATGTGTTAGTGGACTAGTTAGAGTAGAAGTAGCTAGACTACTTGTCATACAAATATAATTGATGTTTATTTGGGTTAGTGGACTTGTATAAGTAGAAGTAGCTAGAGTACTTGTTCATACTAATAGAATTTATGTTTATTTGCGCTAGTGGACTTGTATAAGTAGAAGTAGCTAGAGTACTTGGTCATACTAATAGAATTGATGTTTATTTGGGCTAGTTGACTTGTATAAGTAGAAGTAGCTAGAGTACTTGTTCATACTAATAGAATTGATGTTTATTTGGGCTAGTGCACTTGTATAAGTAGAAGTAGCTAGAGTACATGGTCATACTAATAGAATTGATGTTTATTTGGGCTAGTTGACTTGTATAAGTAGAAGTAGCTAGACTACTTGGTCATACTAATAGAATTGATGTTTATTTGGGCTAGTTAGAGTATTTAATTGATTAATAGTACTTTGTTAGACAAATGGGGTTATGGTAGGTTTAGATTAATGAACTGTTTAAACTACTTAATCAGACAGATAGAATATTTCAGGAAAAATGTATTAGCTTGTCTGCTTTTTGAAAATGTATGTATATTTTGGTCCAGAACAAATGAGCTGGTTAGTCTACTATGGTAGACATACATTTGGGAAAGTATTTGTATGAATGAACTAGGTACAATTCTGCTGCAGAGTTTTACCAGCATTTTGTATTGTAACATGTTTTACGAATACATAAGATTATTTATTGGGATCAATTACATTTCCTTCTTAGTGCTATTTGTATTTCGTGGGCAGGTTTTAAATTGAAAAAACCAAACAGAAAACAGAGATATGATGAGGACCACAACGCATCTGTGAATATTTATGGAACATCTTGTAGAGGCATAGTTTTGAAGTATATTTTTCACTAGATATGTGACACTGTAATTTATTATTGACATTTACACTTGTAAAATTCAATTTATGTATACATCTTTGTACTTTTTGAAAGAAAGCCTGAGGGGCATTTATTCAAAAATGTGGGAGTTCTTAAAATTGCCCACTAATATTTAGCGATATTAGGTGGATTTCAGAAGGTTGACATCTTTTTTTTTAGATCTTCTCGTTCTTACTGTCTGAATAACGAACCTCGACAAGCGAGAGACCTTCAATTTCCAGATAAACTTCCTGGGGAGATGTATGATGGCGGCATGCAATGTAAGCTCCAGTTTGGGTCCAAGTCGAAACTCTGTAAATTGTACAATGAAAAGGTATGAAACTTCTTTCTATTGAATTCAACTCGCGAAGTTAGAACTGCTTCTCCATGTAACATTGGTTCTGTATCAGAACTATGTGTGGAAGTAATTGAATAATAACATTTATAAAAGGTAACATATATTAGAGTATAAAATGTTACTTTGGCCAGCTGTTGCAATTTTGTTCAAAAGAGTATGTGGCATGTGATTAAAGACTTTCCTTGTTTGTTTTTAAGGGTAGAGCTACGCAATGGGCTATCTTCGGTGCCACTGGAGAGCATGATTAAATATGACACTTCTATGCATGTGTGTATGTAAATACATGCACACACACATATATAACTGCACATCGCTCAAGTTAATTATGGTAGTTCACAAGAGAGTTGTAGGGTGTCCTTTTGTATACTACGAGAAAGCCCACAGTCCTATTTTAGCTGAATATTATTTCTTCATTGTGAAGAATGCCTCATTTACTGATTTTTTTCTCAACTGAGGCTAATCCTGTTGGTTGTGAAATTGTTAGCAAAAGTATATATAATATCAAAGTTTTAAAGTCATTTTTGCAACATATTGATGTTGAACTAAAAAAAAGATATAAGTAACTACAAGTATCTCTATCTTAAGGTTATCTCTTTCATGAAGACAAAGATAACAAACACATAATTCAAGCGCTTTCCATAGGTAAACCTTTCTTAATCAAGAAGAGACTGCCTGACTTAACATATTGTCGTTTAGTGTTAGACCTTTCTTAATCAAGAAGAGACTGCCTGACTTGATATATTGTCGTTTAGTGTTAGACCTTTCTTAATCAAGAAGAGACTGCCTGACTTAACATATTGTCGTTTAGTGTTAACATCGTCATCTATTTACAAAATTAAGTTTTTGATGTGTTAAATTTTGACATTTGAGCTCATTCTATAAACAATCTTTGTTTGGTAGCATAATAAAGTTCAAAAATTGGTTAACTTTGCTTCTTGAATACAGAACAATTTGTTACAAGAAAACAACATCTGTAAGTCCCTCTGGTGTCACAGACGAGGTCGAAAATGTGTAACAAAGTTCATGCCTGCCGCGGAAAAAACCTCATGTAGAAGGAACATGGTAGGTATTATCAACAAACTGTAGCCTGTAACTTATGAGCGAAATTAACTGGCATACTGTACCAAGTAGTTCTGTCAACAGATGTAAACATAATGCAGGCGAAGTCGAACTCAATATAAATCTTATGGAGCAGACACTCTAATAACTTGAGTTATCTGCATTCAGTCATATTTTGTCATTTCGTCTTATCATTGAGCCTTCAATGAGTACAATTCGCTTGCAGAGTTAAATTAAAGGCTAAGATTATGGTTAAACTAATTAATGTTGGCGCACTTTGAAAATGAGCTTAAAAAGTGTTTGTTTGTTTGTCCACCACGGGAAATCGAATCCCGGATTATAACGTTGTAAGTCACACATGGGGACTGTAAAAAAACTGAGAACAACAATAAATAATCAGTTGTATTTCTTCAGAGTCTCAATTTATCATCTATGTGATGTTAAAAAGACAAGTGACGTGGAAGTGTCCTACAGCTAATATTCATAAACTATTTAGTTATTCAAAATATCTATGTGAAATTACGAAAACACAGAGGAGCATTATAACCCATAAAGTTGGAAAGGAATAATAACAGTACTGGAATTAGATCTTTACAATGTCTTAGTATGACTGCAGATAAACCTTCCTTTTAGAATAATTTCTTTCTTTAGTCAAAAACGTTATGGCATCTATTCAAAAAAGTTGTTACATTCAAAAACTACTGCTCACTCAATAAAGTTTACTATTGTCAGTATGTACATACTGGAAATTAAATTTAATAGTTCATTGATTCGAGAAGGGAAACTTAGCTTAGTATATTTTGTATTTTAATGAAGAAACTGTTGTTAACATTAACAATGTTGACTTTTTTTTATCCCGCCTGTATTTTAATGAAGAAACTGTGGCTAATGTCGACAACATTGACTTTTTTTTTATCCCGCCTGTATTTTAATGAAGAAACTGTGGCTAATGTCGACAACATTGACTTTTTTTTATCCCGCCTGTATTTTAATGAAGAAACTGTGGCTAACGTCGACAACATTGACTTTTTTTTATCCCGCCTGTATTTTAATAAAGAAACTGTGGCTAACGTCGACAACATTGACTTTTTTTTTATCCCGCCTGTATTTTAATGAAGAAACTGTGGCTAACGTCGACAACATTGACTTTTTTATCTCCGCCTGTGTTTTAATGAAGAAATTGTGGGTAACGTCAACAATATTGACGCTATGTTATCCCCGCCTCTTGCGGATTTGAGGGTTACTAAAATGCATTCCCTTCGTCTGTCCATCCAAAATAATTCTCGTGGACGCAATATCTCAAAATATCCTTATCAGTATCCTTTCAAATGAAGTGCAATGACGTGCATCTTGAATTGTTGGAACTGATTAGGACTTGATCACGCTTCAGTAATTTTCTGAATTTTCATGAACTAAATTAGTTTGCGAACGCAATAGCTCAGGAACGACACATCAAATTTCCTATAAATTGGGTATGAACGGAAGAGAGATTTAAAAGAAGTCACTCACATAAAACACACCAAGAAGCTATAAATTACGTTTAACAAAATACGTATTTCAATGAATACATTTTTGCAAATATTCTACTACGATTATATTTTTGTATATCAACCGAAAATACATCTCGGTAATGAATACATAAATATTACTGTAAGCTTAGTTCATAAATGACTTCACATCACTATGAATCTACTGTTATTAAACTGGATAAACGAACCAGTTTACCACCATTGCATGCTTTTATGTGTGCCGGAAATAAAAAACTTTCAAAGTCAAATATCATGAGACTGATATTTGATAATGATAATGTCTTTTCAGGCAGTGCTTTCAATTGAATGAAAATGCTAAATATCTATAAAAGAGAAAATGAAGGTCAGTGAGTAGTTACACCCATATTTCACAGCATACAATATTAAAAAAGTGCATATTATTGTAATACTTTACAGATTAACTTGTCTCTGTTGCCTTGAAATAATTCAAAGTGGGTTGAGTTTTCTTTGTTTAACATGTTTAGTGGTGTCGTAGGGGAAAATGCGTTGAAAAGAGTGAAGAAGGGCGTAAAGCTGTCGATGGAGGATGGGGAGCTTTTTCTGACTGGTCTTCTTGCTCCAAGTCTTGTAGCGGTGGTATAGCTTTCAAGGAACGAAGATGCAACAATCCAAGGTCAATACAGGTCATAAGAGCTGTGCTCTATATACTATTTTACTCTTAATTCACATTAAAGATGCGAGAAAGAACGTGTGTGTTATCAAAGCCACCTCATGTGCAAAATCGTCTCGTCTAAATGTTTACTTCTTTTTTTTTTAACGTGGAAAGCGGAAAGCAGCCTTTCTACATCGTTGTTTTAGTTAACACTTACTGCATATATTTCTTAGTTAAAACTAAATTTCTTGCTTATTGATGAAATCTTCAGCATATGTTTGTTTTTTAAAAGTAGGTTACCAAAGTCACTTGTATGTAGAAAGGTCATTTTTGAAATATTTAACCACAGTCACCAAATTTCATAACTTGTTAACATTTTCCAATCAAAATATAGACAAGATAACCATTTGCTGAGTACGCATTGTCAGTTAGGTTAGAATTTCAATAAGTGTTATCATAGTAAGTATTTTCTATTATAACTGTATTTAGCTAGTATGATAGCTACATGAGTAAATTTAGCCAAGCCAGAAATGTTAAATATATTATAAATGTTTCTGGAATGACTTAGGCTTAACGATAAACGCCGAGTAACTTTTAAGTTGTAATGCAAGTAATAAAGACTTGCTGTAGCTTATCAGCTTTACTTCAGCTTATAACATTGTTCATGGCGTATTATTGATTATCATCATTGAACTAGACGGATAAAGTGCTATTTGAAGACAGCAGAAATTAGAATAGTAGTCTTATCTACGGGTGTAAAAATAAATTTAAAAGCTAGTCTACGCTTCTGAGTAGAATTTTGGTTTAAATTCGTAATAAATAATGAGTTAATTACACTTTCAAAAAAACGAATGAAATGTGCATTTCACTGTCCATTCTTTTTAATTTGGGAAACGGGGGTATAATCTAAAAATTGAAACAGAAGAACGTTTCATATAAATTCACTTTGCAGTATTATTATCTCACTCGTGGTGCAACATGCTTGCTCAGCGGTAAGCCTGAGGGCTTATAACACTAAAATTCGGGTTTCGATACCCACAGTAGGCAGTACACAAATATCCCGCTAAGTACCTTTGTGCTTAACAACAAACAATAAAACAATGGTATTAGAGAAGGTTAGTTGTATTTTATAAGAAAGATTTGCATATGATAATATATATTGGCGTTAGCAATGGCGCCATGTTTAGTTCACAAAGTATGCTTCATCTTCGACGGTGAAAGCCATCATAGATTGACTTATGGGGTATATTCAGTCGTTTTCGAGGAAATATGCTCGCATAAAAAGATTATTTAAAATGCCACAAAATCTGTAGAAGTAAGCCTTCAATATTCTACACAGAGGCAAAAAAGTAGTTCAAATAGCATTGAGGACAACAACAGGCTCTGCAACCTTACCCCAACCCAATTCGGGGCAAAACCCTCATCTGTAAAACACTTTTGATACTGAAACCCATTGCACTGATATGAAGCATATCTTCTGGTACCGTTAACAAACTACTAAACAAGGAATTGAAACTTTTGAAGTTCACAGTTATGAAAATTCACAAACTTCTAGCTAAACCTCGAAATTGACAGCTGTTTTCATTAGAAATATGGCGGAAGAAACGGAAATTATTTGTTTGTTTGTAATTAAGCACAAAGTTACACAATGGGCTATTTGTGCTCTGCCCACCACTGGTATCGAAACACGGATTCTAGCATTGTAAGTCCGCAGACATACCGCTGTGCCACAGGGGGGCAGAAACGGAAATAAAGGCATTTCCATTTTAACTGCATACCTATAGCGTCTCCGATCCAACTCTAAAACACTTTTCTGGCTTTGATCAGCTTTAACCTCGTCTCAAAAGCCGAAGACCACGTACAGTGAAGGTTATGTCAAGAACTTATGTGGTCTAAGATTGTCCCTGCTGACCTTCACATAAGCTTCTTACAATGAGAACTGTGTTATCAAACAGTATTGTGGAATTTTGTCTATAATCTTGAGCGCAACCGCCGATGAAGAAGAAAGTTTAAAAGGCTAGCACTATACCTGAATAACACTATTTTAAGGTGCGCTTAACCCTCAATATAAAAGATACATAATATTAGTTGGTCAAGTAATTCAAGGGTGTTTCCATTGCTATCCGATATACGTTTAATTTATTGAGTATTTTAAATCGCATTTTTTTTCATTGTTAACTGGTATACGTTTCTTTTATTATTTTTTTTCAGTACACAGTTGATCAAGTATTGAAGGTGTGTTTCCTTTGTTAACCAATATTCGTTTCTGTTACATGGATAAATTAAAGCACAACTGACTCAGTTATCCAAGACATGTTTCCATTGCTATCTGATATACGTTTCTGTTACAAGAATTATTCGATGTACAATTACCAAGTAATTCAAGACGTGTTTCCATTGCTAACTCACATAACCTTCTGCTACAATAGTTATTCGTTGCAAAATTGATGAAGTAATTCAAGGCGTATTTCCATTGCTAACTGATATACGTTTCTGTTTCAAGAGTTATTTAATGCATGGATTATCAAGTAATTAAAGTAATGTTTCCATTACTATCTGGTATACATTTCTGTCACAAGAGTTATTCAGTGCACAGTTTATCAATTATTTCTAGGCATCTTTCCATTGCCAGCTAATATATAGTTCTGTTACAAGAGTTATTCAGTGTACAGTTGATGAAGTAATCCAAGGCGTGCTTCATCGCTAATAAACATAAATTTTTGCTACAATAGTTATTCATTGCCAAGATTTTCAAGTAATTCAAGACGTGTTTCTGCTGCTACGTGATACACATTTCAGCTACAAGAGTTATTCAGTACATACTTGAAGTAATTCAATGCGTGTTTTCATTGCTATCTTGTATACGTTTTTCTTTCAGTAGTTATTCAGTGCACAATTCATTAAGTAATTCAGGGCGTGTTTACTTTAGAAGTAGATATACGTTTCTGTTACAGTCATTTTTCAGTGCGTACTTCATCTAACAGTTCAAGCGATGTTTCCACTGTTATTTGATACTAGCGAAAGTACCCGGCTTCACCCTGGTTATTAGGTTGATAGTTTGTTTATTCTTAACCCAGTTTAGATACATTTTTTGCAAAGCAACACGACATAAAAGCCATTGCTGGAACGCATTGTTACCCAAACGCACTGGCTTTTCTATATATAAGAAATTGTTATATAAGAAACCACTTCCTTTCTATGAGTGTTTTTTTGCTTCAATAAAAAGATGCCTACGTGCATGCGCGCAGGCACGTGGTTAAGATAAGTAATAATACGCAGGTGCATACCCTCAGGGTCCACTTAGTGTGGGTGCAAAATTTCAGGTTTCTAAGTTTTTTTCCTCTTGGGGCTACGGCGGTCACACCTACACAGACACACACGTGCGCACGCGCGTACGCACACTCACGCACATGCGTGTCTGCCTGTCTGGCTGTGATTTCTATACATAATATAAGGAATCACTTCTTTTGTGTGTGGTTTTTCGCTAGCTTGCCTCATTAAAAACATGCTCACACGCACGTGGATAAGATAAGTAATAATACCCAAGTGCACACTCTCAGGGTCAATTTGATATGGCTGCAAAATTTAAGATTTCTAGGTTCTTTGTTCTTGGAGCTATGGTGGTCACATTTCTTTTATATGGGGTTTTTCGCTCGCTTGCCTCATAAAAAGATGCGCGCACGCACAGGGATAAGTAATAATACCCAGTTGCACACCCTCAGGGTCCACTTAATATGGGCGCAAAATGTCAGGTTTCTAGGTTCTTTACTCTTGAAGCTATGGCGATCACACATACACAGACACGTACGTGCGTGTCTGTCTGTCTATGATTTCTATTTGTAATATAAAGAACCACTTCTTTTGTATGTGGTTTTTCGCTGGCTTGCCTCATCAAAAAGATGCGTGAGCACACGCAGGTGGATAAGTAAAATACCCAGAGTGCACACCCTCAGGATCCACTTAGTCTGCGTTCAAAATTTCAGGTATTTTGCTCTTGGAGTTATGGTGGTGATACACAGTCTAATAGACACGCCCTTTTATTATTATAGGTACATTTCTGTTACAATAGTTATTCCGCGCCCATTTGATCAAGTATTTCAAGGCGTGTTTCCATTGCTAAGTGATATACGTTTCTGTTACAAGAATTATTCATCAACTAATCCAAGGCGCACAATTGGTCAAATAATGCAAATCTTAATTCCGCTGCTATTTAATATACATTTCTGTCACAAGAGTTAGTAAGTGCACGTTTGACCAGTTATCCAAAGCGTATTTCCGTTGCTATCTAATATACATTTCTGTTACTATAGTTATTCAATGCACAGATTATCAAGTAATTCAAGGCGTGTCCATTACCAGCTGACATACCTTTCCGTTATAAGAGTTATTCAGTGAACATAAGGTGTGTTTACATTATAATGGATACACATTTTTTTTAAAAGTTATGCAGTACACAGTCGATCAAGTAATTCAAAGCGTTTTTCCGTCGCTATCTAATATATATTTCTGTACAATAGGTATTCAGTGCACAGTTTATCAAGTAATTCAATTCGTGTTTCCATTGATATCTGATATATATATTTCTTTTACAAAAGTTAATCAGTGCACAGTGCATAAAGTAATCTATAGAGTGTATTCATTGCTATTTAATATACATTTCTGTAACAAGATTTAATCGGTACACAGTTGAACAAATAAACCAATGTGAGCTTATATTGTTGTGTAATAGACGTTTGTGTTAAGAAACTTACTGAATATATAATTGATAAAATAATTTTAGTCAATTACCAGCAATTTTTGTAAATGAAAATTAAAAGTAGTTAATATAATTCTTTTTTGTAACATGGCTACGTAATATTAATATTTTACTAGCTGATAGATAATGAATTGTTTCCGTTTGTAGCATTCCAAGTCGTGTTTCCAGTATATGTCTCATGTTCTTTTTGCAGACCTAGAAATGGTGGAAAAGAATGTGAGGGTGAAATGCGAGTGTACAAGATTTGTAACAACAAGGTTTGTAAATTGAAAACTGTCTGACAAAGATTTCAATATTTCACCTGAAGCAATACGTTACAGATCTTAACACATTAACAAAGGTCACCTGCTTCTTAGATATTTCATTAGAAGATTAAAATTTACACTTTGCTAGATGAAACTCTTGTAATTAATTTACCGTTGGTAGAACTTAAGTATTAACGAAGTATATTGTTTAATTTGGTGTATTCAATGTTATATCAACGTACTTAAAAATTGTTATAGCAATGCTTCGAAGCCTTAGATTACTGCTGAACACAGGAGACTTCTAATAATTATTTTAATAATAACCTTATAAGCATGGATATCTTTTCAAAAGTACATCGTGAAATGCTTAATCTCTAAAATAACCTATTTTATTTCCTTTTATCTAGTCAAATGCTTCTTTTCGTATTAATGCTCTATGGGACAAATTTATTATTAACAGCCTTGTCATCGTGGCACCAATGACATCCGGATCGAACAATGTGGAACATTTAACAATAAGACTTTCAGGGGAAATCGGTTCCTATGGAAACCATACAATAAGAATCTTGGAGGTATATATATAAATATTTAAATTTATTTTAAGAAAGCTTACTCATTAAAAGATATAGTGATCAAGTTCATATAATAAAGGAATCAGTTTGAGAAATAACAGTATCTTCAGGCAAGCTATTGCGTCTTAAAAAAGAAAGAAATTAC